TAATAATTTTAATTTACATTGATCAAGATTCTAATTTTAATTTACAACAATCAATATTATAATTTAAATTTTATTATTAAAAAATATTAAGTTTATATTTTTTATATAAAAATTAATTAGATAATTAAGAAAGTCAGGTTATTATATCAATATTACTATTTAATTAATTTTTTAAATATAAAATTAATATTTTTAAATAAAAATAAAAATTTATTATCTTATGTAAAAATTAACAAAATTTACATCTTAAAATAAAAATTAACAAAATTTATATTTTTATTTACCTATTTTCTTATTATTTTCACTTTCGTTCCAAGCGAAAACAGATAAGGGTTTACTGTTTGTAGTGCTAGAAATATCCGTTATAATGAAATGTAGGCATGTCATTTAGTCTGCCTAACAAAAATTGTCAGTCTGTTCACTCTTAATATTTATGATTTATATAGGCTTAAGATAATAGTAAAAATCAATATATACTTGCATTCTAAATGCTTTGATTACATGTAAAACTATTTAAATACACATAATGAACCTTATTTGTTGTGTTTATTTATTAGGAATATAATTTAATTTTTTATTATCATTTTTGATATTTTAATTATCAAAATATCTTAATTTTCCTCTTACCCTAATCCTAATTTTAATATATTAGCATTTTGTTCATGTAAAGTATCAAGTAAATACAAGTCAATATAAATTCATAGTAATTTAAGTACAAATACACATCTAAGAAAATCACTAGAGAAATATATTAGAATTTTATGATCGGTAAGGGTTAAAGACATTTAAAATAAGTTTTATTATTTTAAAAAATTATTTTATAGGATAAACTGAATATAGTTTATTCTGTAAAATTATTTAAATATTTTTAATTTTATTTTTTATATTATTTTTTAAAGATATTTAAATAGAATTTTATAAAACAAATTATATACAATTTATTTTATAAAATAGTTTATTATTATTATTTTTATGATTCAATATAATTTAAATTAAAAAATATTATTCTTATCCATTTATGCATTACTTGAAAATTTCGAAATTTGAATTTAAGGACATTTCAAGACTCCCAACACAATAGCATGAAACAGACACAAGCTGTAGGGTCAAGTCATGCATTATGATGGACCTAATAATATAAAGGCGAATCGTCCCTCATCTCATAGTGATCATGATTTTTGCCAATTATTCAATCCGGTCCTTTTAGTTGATAACTCAAAATTATGATGGAAGAGACTTGCTTGTGGGTGTGAATGGGAGAAGCGAAAAGGGAATTTCGTGGAAATTGTGGTAATGATGAAGTGACTAGGGAAAAAGAAAATGAACGGGCGAAAATTCCAAGGAGAGTTGAGTGGATTCATGAACTTTTCTTTGAAAGGACGACAAATTAATTTTTCTTTAAAAAAATTGTTATTTTATTTATTTATTTATTTTAATCAAGGTATTGTTACCATTATCTTTGGCAGAAGGTGCAATTCAGCCCCTCTACGTCCATTGTTGTGGCACATCAGCCCCTCTACCTAAAAGTAGAGCAAATCAACCCCTCCCCTTGACAAAACCCGCAAATCAGCCCTTCTGCTGACGATGACCTCATCAAATGTCATCTTTTCGTCCACATCCTTGTTACTCCGTTATCAAGAAATGGCTTGGTGCTAATATGGCGTTGGGTAGGTGATGTGGTCAATTTAAATTGCAAAATTATTAAAGAGCCCTCACCTATTTCCTTTTCTTCCATTCATCTTCTCTCTCCTCTTTTACAGTCTCTCTCTTCATATTGCAGATTTACTTTTTTTTTTTCAATAGTTTAAATTAAAATTTTCTTTAGTTAAATCTAAACTTCAAAAAATTATTAAAAAAACTTTCAAAATATGAAAATATAAAAATTAAAAAAAAATTTAAAATTAAAATCAAAACTTGTGGCTTTGTTGACATCAAGTAATTTGTTAATTAAGTTTCCATTTCCAATAACCAAAATCTACCTCACTTTATTTTTTTTAAAAATACATGTAATATTTTTTTTTGGTACATATACATGTAATATTTATTTATTTTAAAAACCATCTCAAAAATAGATTTATATATTTTTAATAAAAATACAAACTTAAAAAAAAAATTATGGATTCATATGTATCCCTTTACTACTGCTTCAT